TATTCCAAGAGACGTGGCTTTGAAATACCAAGATGCAAAGGATATCGAATAGCCGCTTAAAATCTATCCCATGGCTTCCTAAAATGTCACTCATCTCTATTTCTTTTAAGTAAAAAATAAGAAGAAATACTATTTATATCAATCAAATCGCCGTGACTTGTCATATATCATGGGATCATGACTCAAGGCTTGGTTAGAAGTCATACTTCTATCTTTTCAAAACTGCCCTTTTTAGAAAGATGATTCCATTGGTGCCCCTCCTTCATAGATGGGTCGCACAACAATATATATAGTAAATTTGGATTTTCATACGAAAATAGATAATGACCATGTATCCTACCATATATAATCATGAAAAAATACATAAAATGATCATTTACTTCTAGTATAAGGAAGTTACAATTACTCATATCTATTATATTTTAAATTGGGTAGTTGTAAATGTATTATTAACTAGACTTAAAGTTCACAAAAGAATTTTTTTTAATTTTTTCTCATACCTTAAGCCATCAAAATTTGATATCTAATAACCAGGAGCAATTATAAATAATGATTAATGCTCTTGTGAATATCATAATATATTACTTCTAGGCTAGTTGGTCGGGCCGGTCTTGTTATTTACTTGGGTTTTGCCAAGGAGAAATCAAACTCTTTTATGAAAAGATTAGTAAAAAATAAAAAAACAAATAGGGCGAGGTCGGTCCTACATTTTAGGGCTAGGACCATTCCTTAGGCCAAATTTAAGTACCTGGACCTAGGCTGCTAAGCCGGGACACTCGGTGCGTTGCCACCCTTGGGCACCATGTATGACCATTTGGGAGCACTTCCAAAACTTGAAGGTTTGGGCTTCTTGTGAAGTAAAGAACATTTCGACTAAATGCTTTGAGGTTCGGGTAGGGCTTGCAATACTAGGCCTGGCCCTAGCCAAGACCTTAGCTCCCATAGGGCTAACCCAGGCCTGGCCCTAGTTTTCTAAAGGCTAGGCTAGGCTAAATATAAATATAATAATAATAATTTAAAAAAAGGCCGGGCCAAGCTACAAACCCTGTCAAGGTATACTGGCCCATCCTGGACATGCCCTCGAGCCACATTTTGTGGCTCCGACTCGAGTTTTTAGGGCCAGGCCTCCGGACCCATTCGGCCCTAGGTAGGTTTGTGCCAAATTTTGGATTTACTTGCCATATGTTTCTAATTTATTTTCCAAGTTAAGTTTGAAGACAAATCGTACAGCTGTTACACTTTACGACAGATTCGAAGCAGGGGGGCCACGTGTGGCGTGGTGGTGGGACTGTCATCAAATGGTTTTGGAGATTAATTAAGTGGTGAAGTCTGTGTGCTTGGGATTTTGCATTCCTAAAATATCTCGAAAAATTCAATTAAGATAATGTATAATAAATAAACATAATATGTCTCTTGGGTGATTATACGAAGAAGAAGAAGAAAAGTTAAAATCATGAATAAAAACTAATAAAATAATATCGTACAGAAATTTTGATATGTGTTCTTTTTCATTTTTAAGTTTGATATTAGTCATCATAAAAGGGAAGAAAAAAGCATATGCATTTCTTTTCGAAGGCAAGACATTATACGCTTCTCAAATATTCAGAATGCACCTCTTCGATTCTAGCCATTGGTATAAAAAAAGAAAAGAAAACAAAAAAGGAAAGCACATCAAATTTAGTCTTCATCTTCTTAAGAAAAACAATATGGGAAGATTGAACAGAAATTGTTCAATTTGTGGATGGCCATATCTAAGTGTTGAAGAATCCAAAAAAATATTAAAAAATAAAATAGGAGATATGGGGTTGGGATTTAAGGGGGGAAAGAAAAACTTCATTTTTTTTTAATAAAAAATTGGGTTTTAGGGGGAATTGGGCTAGTACCGTACTATCTCAAAACTGGTTCTGTCCTGACCAATTTTTAGAAAATTAGCAAGCAGAAATAGAAGTGCCCGAGTTGAACCTGTGATTGATTCAACCTATCGGTTCAGTTTTCAAAAACCCAAATGAAAAATAAACAAAATTTTAAATACTATGCAGCAAAAGAAGAAATTTCAGATTTAAAAATTCCTGACTGGTGGCCGATACTTGGAATGCTATGTGACAAACTTTAGACACTTCAGGGATATTTTCTTATGAATAAGAGGACGCATAGCCATTTGTTAATGAATGAGAGAACATGTGGCCTTAATCTCACTTGTTTCGCTCCATTTCGCTTACAATTGCCTTGAACCCGGTAAAAACTTTTTGAAAATATTTTAAATTTTCTTTAGGCATTGTAGTTTTAAATTAAGTGCAGGCTGTTTATTTCTTAAAAGTTCATGACGACGTAGTCTTCAAAAGATTTGGGGGAAGAAGACAAATATATTTGAAATCCGAACCGATCATTGTTTTTCTTTTCTTTGAAATGGATGGCTTATTTTCATTGAAAATATTTGGGGGGAAGACAAATTTGTATTTTTTTCCAAATTCTTTTTTAGTTCCATTCATAGAAAAATGTTTTATTTTTCAATTTATTCATAGATAATATCACTAATTTTATAAGCTTGAAACAAAAATTCTACTTCTAAGATGTTTTAAAGTTAAAGGAAGTTCCATACCAAATTTGAGGCCAAGCAGATACCCTTAACCTCCGAAACATGAAAACCCAAAAGGGTTTTAACGAGGACCAAATAGTTTCCATGCAATGAATTACAAAGCTCAGATGATGATGACGACGACGACGACTTGTCTTAATTAGAAAAATCACCCAAAGACCATTGAAAATACTATTACTTACTGGGTGCGGTTTTTCAAGAGCCGAGGCTCTAAACAATCAAATTAGGGCCCACCATCAAATACTATTCAGAAATATGGTTTTTATATTGAAATATTTTGTGATAGCCTTAGAATATATTTTCATCTTTAATTATAAAATTTAAAGTTTAAAAAATAGCGTATATCGAGTAGATCTATGAAAACTTTAAAAATCTTAAAAATTAACGGTCCAAAAATGCTTTATAAAATGCACTATTTCAAAAACTTAAAATCCATTTTATTCTCATGTCCATGCATCTTGATGTTGAGATGATCAAGTTGATGATATTAGGACATCAAAATAACCTTTTCTCGTAAAAATTATGAGGTGGGCTCTAATTTGATTATTTAGATCCTAGGCTTTATATAAACTTTTCCCTTAGTTAAATGATGATGACTTGTCTTAATTAGAAAAATCTTCGCATGAACATTGAAAATATCATTTTTTAAATATGAGTACACATGAGAAGGGACTAAGGTCATAGTGGTAGCACCTCCACACTCTAGTCAAACCCTTTGTGGTTTCTATTCATACCGAAAAATCCCTAAACTAGCTGAAAAAACAAATAAGAACTAAAAGAAAATTTGAGTAGACTTTTTCACTCCAATACTGTATCAGCCATTGATCATTTCATTGATCAGACCCCATCTGGGGCACCAATTTCTTAAGCTCCGTAGTAACCAGAGATGTACCCCTCCAACATTAAATAGTGCATCTCATAATACATTATATAGACTATCAATTTTTAAAATTTTTAAGTGTTAATAGGTTGATTTGATTTATACTATTTTTGAAACTTTTAAAATTTATAGTTGAAAATGAAAACAAATTTTGAGCTCATCATAGAGATATTTGGTACTAAAATGATATCTTTCAACGCTATTTGAAGGTGCACATTTCTTTGATTGTTTTAAGGCCTGAGCCTTGTACAAAATTTCAAACCAACCACACCCATAACAAAATATAGAACCAAAGAATGGAAAAGCTCACCCAAAAACAGTGAGACGTTATAAATGAAAGGAAGTGAGTTAAGTCGCCATTAGTATGGAACCATGTAAAGCGCACATAAGGTGCACTAAGTTCCAGCGTTAAGGCTGAGCTAACATGGGTAGAGGACCCTATCCTGCTGATCTCCCCACCCTGAGCTAACATGGGTAGAGGACCCTACCCTGCTGATCTCCCCACCCCACCTCCACCTCCACCTCCACCTCCACCTCCACCTCAAAACCC